TGCTGATTATTGGGCTAGTGCAGTGGTTCTCAACCTGTGGGTCGGGACCCCTTTGGGGGTCGAGTGGCCCTTTCACATGGTCTTAGGAACCGAGACACCAATTTTATGGTTGGGGGTCACCACAACATGAGGAACTGTATTAAAGGGTCATGGCATTGGGAAGGTTGAGAACCACTGGGCTAGTGCTTGTAAATAGTTGCCATCTGACAATTACCATTTACTTTTTAAGCCCATGATAGCAAATCTATGGCACACATGTCAGAGGTGGCATGCAGAGCCTCGTCTGCAGGCCCACCAGCTGTCGCCCCATCCCAGCTCCACCACACATGCATGCACACCTCTCGCCGGTCAGCTGGTCTCCAGGTCTCTGCCGCACTTGCGTGGGGTGCATGTGTGGGAGCTCACATGCCTGCATGGGGCACGCATGCACTGAGCCCGCATACATGCATGGAGGGCACTCGCATTGCATTTTGGGGGTTCACTTGTGCGCGCACCACCTCGCACCCTGTTTTGGACCTGGAAGGCCTCCTGCACCAACCTGGAAGACAAAAATGGGTGGAGGGGCAGGGCACATGTTTGTGTGTGGGGGATAGGGCGGGACACATGTGCATGGACATTTGCTTTGCATTTTGTGGGGGGAGGGCTGCTTTGAGCACTTGGCACCAAAAAGGTTCACCATCGCTGTTTTGAGCAATGGAAATTCGGCAGTGTTTTGATTTGAGACACCCTTCCAATCTTTTATGACACCTCCCCTCCCCAATATTGTGTATGTTTGGAAATGACAAGTTTTCTTAAAATTGTGATATTTGTTGCATTGTGTCAGAGCTTCTTGGATGTAACTATGAAATGTTCCATAACTTTGTGCAATGTTTTAAATTTCTAGCACCAGATGCCTAAGTAGAACAACAGAGAGACACATTTTTCCACTAAATTATAACATTATAGGAAAGAATGTGTGTGTGTGAATGGGGTGAGGTGGGTTGGGATGCGATAGAATAAGGAGGAAGAAGCCAACACATTTCTGAGACTTGTAGCAATGGCTCATTTCTACCTTTATCTTTCTACAGGTCTCAGTTGCCTCATTTTTTTCATCTTCAGGTACATTCCTTGTGCCTTTTTTTGATATCCTGGAATATAATTGTAATCCTACCTGCCAACATTAGACAATTTAAGGGCAGAAGTGTATTTAAGATGGAGGCATTGATATTTTAAAAATACATGGAGGGGATGTATATAGTCCATTAGATGTTTCTTCAACAGAAGAAAAGATGGCACTCTTGCAGCAGATTTTGTCTTTGATTACCCTTCACTATTTGCTTCTGGTGTATGCTTTTTAATATGAAATCTACCATAGAAATACACAATCCAGATGCCGAATGAGCCACACACCCCTTCCCCAAGGACTGGATCCTCAAACAGTTGCCAACAAATTACAATAATGTGACAGAAGGGGAAATTATTAAATATACAGAATCATATTTTCAAGTATATTTTACGAATGTAATGTAAATTACATATGTTTTGGTTTCTTCCCCCTATTTTTATGTCCTCCTCTTTAGTGAATACCTCTGCTCTGGCATGTCATCAAAAAGATAAATTCAGCTCATTGTCCCAGACAAGTTGGTATATTATATTGTACTAGGTTGGATGTATGTGATTTCTTTCCTGAAGGCAGGGTTTGCCTGCAGTGTGAGGAAGCTTTTTACAACATATAGTAAGTAGCTTCTCCTAGACGTGTTTAGCCTCCTTCTAGATGCTATTCTGGAAGTTCTGTTCTATGAGTTTTGCAAGTTGCAATCCCAAATCTATGTGGGGAAATTCACTTAGAGCATGGGTGTCAAACTCAATTTCATTGAGGGCCACATCAGGCTTGTGTTTGACCTCGGGGGGCCATGGGGTCATGGTCAGGGTGGGTGTGGCCAGCTCAACGTCATTCATGTGGAGGGCACCTGTGGTGGCCAGAGTACTCTGCCAGCGAAAACTGAGCTTGGGAGGGCAACGTGCTGCCCTTTTGAGCTCCTTTTTTGCTAGCAGAATGATGCAGGAGGCCGTTGCAGGTCGGGAGAGCCGCACGCCACCCTCCTGACCTCTGTTTTCACTCGAAGAGGCACTGCGGGCTGGTCCTTCACTGTTTCCAGGGTGGCCCCATGGGCCAGTTCTAAGCACCCTGCAGTCAGAATCTGGCCCGTGGGCCTTGAGTTTGACACCCCTGAAACTAGAGAATATTTCTCTTGCTTAGTATTCTTGATATAACATAGTTGTATCTGCAGTCTCTTTGATCTATTCTACTCATGTAACACGAAGTCCTTGACTTACAATAGTTCACTTAGGGACCATTTGAAGTTACAACGCACTGAAAAAGTGACTTATGACTGTATTTGATATTTAAACAGTTGCAGCATTCCCAATAGTCACATGATCAAAATTCGGATGCTTGGCAATGGATTCATATTTATATTTATCCCATATTTACGTGATCACCTTTTCTGACCTTCTGATAAGCAAAGTCAATGGGGAAGCCAGATTTATTTAACAACTGTGTTACTAACTTAACTGCAGTGATTCAATTAACAACTGTAGCAAAGGTTGTAAAATGGAGCAACATTGACTTAAGATCCTTTCACTTAACAACAGACATTTTGGGATAAATTATGGTCGTAAGTCAAGGATTACCTGTACATTCATAATACATATGAGAAGAAATCTAGTTGCAGAGATTGTCATTAAAAAGAGCAAGGAATGGTTAAAATTAAATGGTATGGAAAATGCAAGGGCACTTTTGGTGGCAATAAAGAGTTTAGGAAGTGGCTGAAGACAGCTAAACCAGGAAATCCAGCAGTTTGAAATTATCTATTTGTCTGTCTGTCTGTCTGTCTGTCTGTCTGTCTGTCTNATAGAAGAAAAGTGATCGCATGAGTTATATTTAATTAACTAAATTTAAAATAGTTTGAAATTAAAAATATAACAGAGACAATTTTTGTTCTAGCCATACCACTCAAAAACCAAGTGTGGTTCAAAAAAGGGCATATGCCCCCCTGCCAATCATAATATGCAAAGTATCATGTGTGATGTAAATGATAACCCTAAAGAAATGCTTCTATTTATAATGTATTTGTAGTCAAATATGTCACTAGTGGAATTCAGAAAACGATTACCGAGTCCCCCCAGGCATGCTTCACTTCACATTTGGATTATAAATTACCAAGCCAAGTGAATAATTTTTATTGCTTTGAAGACAGATAGCAATTAATGAACTGTGCTTAGCACAACTACATAAAATTAAAGCTGACAGATGTAGGGCATAACTTTGTGGAAGTGTATTGCCTATCTATCTCTCTGGGATTATATGTAAGATATTTGAAAAGGGTAGCACAAATTCAAGAATAAAACTTCCTTCATGTGTATTATCTGTTGTTTTAAAGATGTAAATTTAGCACCATAACGTACATGGATGGATGGATGGATGGATGATACATGCATACATGCATGCATAAATATAAATATGAATATGAATACGAATATGAATATATATTAAAAATCATGGCTTTCTGTCTGGATAGTCTCCTGGGGTGAGCCGATAGAGAAAGGAAGCAATATGCTTCCTCCCATATTTGGGATTCGAACCTGTGCTGTATTGCATCTTAGGCAGTTAGCTTCCTCCCATAATTGGGGCTTATATATATTTAAAGTCACAACCCCTGGTATGCCCAAATATGGGAGGAAGGTCAAACTTCCATTCTCTATCCTTTGGCTCGTCACAAATTTACCTAAAATGTAGAATATCTCACATAAAATGAAGTAATGAAGTAATGACAACTGTAGTCAAATAAATGTATAATAATAATTGTATGCATATATATATTTGATAAGGCAAGATTTTATATAAAGTTCAAATAACAGATATGGTGAAAAGGTGAAACAAAAGTTGTGTAACCAATTGACACACTGTACGGAATTGGAAGATGTTTTTATGTTTTATGTTTGTCTGTATTTGTTTGTTTAAAAATAAAAAAAAATGTTTTAACAGTTTTTTTAACAGGATCGTACATCTGTGATGATCAAGAACAGATGGCGAACTATGAAGAAACTGGGACTAAACTTAATGCGAGGGCACAATGCGCCTTGACTGTATGGAGTTGGCTGTTGCTGAACCTTAAATACGTTATGTAAATTAAATAAAGCATTTCTACTGAAAAATTGCTTGGGAGCCACTATTGACAGCTACACTATATTGCCAAAGGTATTCGCTCACCCATCCAAATAATCAGAATCAGGTGTTCCAATCACTTCCATGGCCACAGGTGGTGTATAAAATCAAGTGTACAGAATTGGAAGATGTGTTATGTTTGTCTTTATTTGTTTGTTTAAAAAAAATTTAAAAAATATGTTTTAGCAGGGTTTTTTTAAAAAAACAGGATCCTACATCTGTGATGATCAAGGACGGATGGAGAACTATGAAGAACCTGGGGCTAGTCTGAATGCCTTGAATGTATTGAGTTGGCTGTTGCTGTATTCGTTTGTTTGTTTGTTTGTTTATATTATGTTTACCTTAAATATAAAGCATATCCAGGTCCATAAGAGCAGTGTTTCTCAACCTTGGCAACTTGAAGATAAGAGGATCTTCTATTTTGCAAAACAAATCTTTTTTCTCCCCAATAAGTATTTCATTTCTAGCAGGTGCTGCCACCTGCTGGAATGACGGGCAAGTCTCTCTCTCTCCCTCCCTCTGTGTCATATTTGTTAGCATCGCAGGTATAGACAACCCTTCGCAGTTTCAAAGGCGGGATCCGCAAACTCCCGCCCCACCCACCTCCACCCACCTCCAACCAACACCTTTCCCCTTTCGTCAAGCAGAAAGAAGCAGGATGCCAGGACTAAAGATGGCCGAGTGCGAGACGCCGAGCAGGAAGAAAAAGGCGGCCAGCGGGGCTGAATCTTGAGAGGAGTCGCGTTTGTGCCGCCTTCCCCCCCCCCCCGCGCTGCAGGTCACGTGCCACGCGGGTCACGTGCCGCTTCCCTGGACCTTTTTGCTTTTCTAGCCCGCGAGACCGGCCGGTGGGAGCTTCTATTTTTTTGGGAACCCGGAGCGAGGCGACATGGAGTCCCCGAAGCTAAAAAAGCCAGAAGAAGAAGAAGAGGAGGAGGACCGGACTCCGCTTTTAGTGTCCGACTCTCCATCCAGCCCCAACGAGGGTAAGAATCCGCCACTTGTCTTCTTCCTTGGCTCCCGCGGTTCTGTTTTTTCCTCCTCCTCTTAACTTGTGACAGTGAAGAAAACACCCGTGTTCTGCTGGGCGCCGTTTTTAAGTCCCGCGGAGAAGGCTCGGGTGCCTCTGTTGATGGGAGATTTGTTGGCTGCAAACAGAAACAACACTAACCTCGGGCTTAAACCTTCAAGAGTGAAATCCCCCCCGGATTCATGGTGCTAATTCCTGAGTCATTCAAGGAACGTGCGGCTACCCCAGAGCAGAGGCACCCAAGAGTGCTGGACTTCCCGAATTTATGGAGGCACTTTATATATTTTGCCTGTAAAATGCTTGCAGGCGATAGGAAAAGGAAATAACGGGTTATCAAAAGCTCTGTGAAATGTTAGCAAGAAAGGATCACTTCTACCATCCCTTAACTGGGAATGGTCGCTGGTCATTAATTATATAAGAAAATAGAAGAGATTGTTTTGCTTGCAGGTCAGTGCCATGATATATATTTTTCCCATCAATTTAATTCATCAATAGAAGAAGCTGCCTTACATCATCATGTTTCTCACTGTACTTACTGTCTGGTTACTTCCATCCAGATCTACTCTTATCATTATTTCCATGCAAACAATAAGAGGGTTTCAATTATTTTCGAGGGGGTGGGTGTTGGAATAATTTGCTAAGGAGCAAATTATTTAGAAGACATACCTTCTGTGAGTGGGAAATGCCTAATTTACTTCAACACAGATGTTTCAAGACATGTTCATGGTGAACTAAGTATACACGGACTATAAATACACAGAGATAAACTACATATAATAAAGAAGAACCCATGTTACTTAAGGCTATGTAGAATCTGGGATAACATATGGTTTACTCTATTTGCTGTCTTCCAATTTAACTTACTTGCATTTCCAAATCTATTATAATTTTGAGCCCTCTCTTTGGCCTACAGATCCATAAAGTTGTACAAAAAGATAAAATGAGAACAGAATGGGGAGGGTTAAGTGCATTCCAGGAAAACAAGTGGCTGATGTAAACAGATCTGGCTTGGCTGGTGTGTTGTCCAAATTCATTCATTCATTTGTGGATAATGTTTTAACACCCCACATTAAAAAAAATATGGCACTAAATAATGTGATTATAATTAAAACTTCCACACCTCATATTCATTAGAAGACAAATTAGCAAGATTGCTCTCAATCCCCTTCTCTAGCCTAAAGAAAAACAAAATATGTTTGAGGTTTTTAAATATCTCTAGTTATCTTTAAAAATATCAAATAAATTTAGAAAGGATAAAAAGTCTAATTTTCTGTGTTCAAATTGGGAGGAAAAATATGGTTGCTGCAACTTTAGCCAAATGGATTACTGCAATTATATAAAATTGTGGCATAACTGTTTACTATTAAATGGGTGGGAAAATGACATTCACACTAAAACTAATAACATGTGCTCAGTAAGATGGAGTTATAAAAGACACAAACATTCTGGACTGTTTTTCTATTGAAAGTAGAAATACGTTCACATGATAGCAAAGCTTTAAAATCATTTCTCAAATAATAGCAATTAGTTTCAGTTGTTATACCCAAAAAAAAAATAACATAGAAAATTGTTATTCTGGGTAAGTCACTGCTAGAAGGTTTTCTTATGATCTTAATTTATATATTAAATTAATTTTAACGTGTTATTTATACCAAGCAATGGAAAAGTTTATAAGCAAATACAGGTACTCCCCCAATGATTACTCTCAAGCATGGCCATGATTGTTAAAGTGAAAATTCCAGTAACTATTGAGAAAAATGGGTATATTCATCCCATGAATCTAGAAGTTATTAAAGGTAAGATATTAGCACCCAAGGCAGACCTGTGGAAATATCTGTGATTAGTTTACTAAGAGTGATAGGTTTCTTCAAGAAAGTTTCTTCTTAGATCACTCTTGCTGGGACATTAATGATAAGATCCTTCAGCATAAATACTTTTCCTACAAGGTCACTCTTGTGAAACTAATGATAAGATCCTTCAGGATAAATAAGGTCATTCTTGCTGGGAAACTAGTGTTTTATCAGGAATTCCAAAACATGATGAGTAAGACCTAACAATTTGTTTTATGGAAGTTCTAGTACATAATACTGACTTTGCCAGCAACCGAACTATTCAGTTTGAAAATTCACTATATTTCAGCTTCTCTATTCTGTACAACTAATAAATAAAATTAATCAGATTAATCATGAAGGAATAACCAGTTCTAATTGGCTCAATCCATTTGAATGACTTAAGTAATTGAATACGGAAATAATCTTCACAGTTCTTCCCCCTCCCCCATAAAGAAATCCAACAACAAGGAGAAACAGTTTTATTGCAGTGAAAATTATTGCTTTACAGAATTACCTTCAATATTTCATCAGGTTACCAGCTAGAATATGTTTTGAAATTATTGCATCGGTCAATAATTTCATCATTTGTTGGAGTTGAAAAACATATTTCCTCCCATTTTTGCTAAAGTTCTTTTGGAGGAAGATTAGCAAATATCCATGTTCAACATGGATAGTGCTTTACTTGCATTCTAAATGTTAGCTTGCTTTTTTCTGCAATTGTGAATGAAATGTTTGCTAGTCATGCCTGAATAGTCCTAGGTATAACAGATTGAAATCCGTTTTGCAGTTATGTTCTTGTTTTCTTTTGTCCCTTGCCCTTTTTTTCATTCAACATAAAAGAAAGCAAAATTCAAGGCAGGTTGAATGGATGACAAAACACCCATTACATTAAATTTGTACATATAAACCTTGCAAAGTATTGCAAACCTGAGAATAGAATTGGGGACTGGGAGTTTTAATGTACATGACTAATTTTATCTCTGGAACAACTTTGTGGGGCACACTGGAATATTTCTCAGACAAGTCACTTAAAAAGCTTCCTAAGCTAAGTGTGGAACTGAACCTCCTGCGTCAATAGCTCTAGTGTAGTTCAAAAGCCTGGCAATTAGCTAGGACAGCAAATTAGCCCAAATCGCTTACGTTGCTTTTGTCCAATAGCTGATTATTAAACCACATGGCAAACGTCTTTCAAAACTAAGAGGAATTTATCTCAAAAGTTCTTTGTTGATGTGGTTTGCAGAGGGAAGTCACATGGGTCAAGGAAGAAAGCTTAAAATAATGGGGCAATTCCTCAGGGTATTTGAATTTCAAGCAACATGTTTTCTGTGTGATATAATTAAACGTAGCAATCAGTGGTGGGATTCAGCCAGTTCGCACCTATTCAGGAAAACCGGTTATCTTTCTAAGCAGTTGGGAGAACCGATTGTTGGAAGAAATCTCCTCGTTTTTTTCACTTTACAGGGCTAATCCTGTAAGAAGGCAGGAAGGAAACATTCTGGTGGTGTTTCTAGCTAATTGCCCTGCTTACAGAAACTGCCTCTCCGGTTAACCCTTATTACATTGTAACAGCTAAGGCGAAGCGCCCAAAGACCTGAGTGATCTTGAGTTGGCCACGCCCACCCAGTCACATGACCACCGAGCCCCACCTACCCAGATGGTCTTTAGGACAGAGAGCCGGTTGTTAAATTATTTGAATCCCACCACTGATAGCAATACAAGGGAAACAGGGTTTATCACAGAAAACTAATTTAAAATATAAAGCCACAATTCAGTGGTTGAAAGCACTAGCTTCTAAAAGTATAGTGAAGTTACCCTTCAGTCACAATGTTCTGGAGGAACCTTAAAAATGG